ATGACGAGCCACAAGGGGCCATCCAAAGGGTGGCTTTAATATTCTCGGCATCTGACACCGGGACCGTGGGTGAAGAGTTTGTTGGAGGCCTGATTCCCGCCGTGCGCGTGGTGGAAGAACTTGATGTGGGCCCAGATGTTCCTGTTGCGTCGAAGCGTAAACGGCTCGTCGACAGGCGTGAACGGCTCGTCCACTTGTGCACGGCGTTTCGGAAGTTGATGCCGGAGGCGAGCACGTGCAGTGAATATTCGGACGTCGTTGACACACTCAATGCAGCTTTCGCAGGCAGTGCTAAAGGTCACCAAATAATGAAGAAGGCTGCTGAGAGTGCTGCGAAGAATGCGGGTTGCGAACCGCATGTCTTATATGACATACGATTTCCCGAGGGTGTCATCAGGGTGAACTATGGGGAGGTGGTTTCCGCTCGGCAGCAGGTGGATGCCAGGAGCGGCAACACCTTGTCAACGGTACTGATCGAAACCGACGACGAAACGAAAAGCGTACTCGTGGTGGTATTGGGCGGCCCCCTGGCCAACCTCCTCAAAACCGGGCAAGAAAACCTGAATGTCGATGGTTACTATTTAGATGAAGGGCCTCGTCAGGCGTCGGTTTTCAAGGTGACAGTCGACATTTCACTAAAATCTGGGGAGGGGGATGACATCGTGTACAGTGCGACGATCATGGCGGATGTCCACGTCGTGAGGGGAACGTTACTGGCCGAGTTCTGTGAGGCTCAGAAGTGGCGCGGACAACTCGACCTCAACCATTACCTGCAGGAGCCCATTCTTGACGAGAGTACGCTGCAGGTGGTCTGCAATGGAATGGCCTGCAATGAAATGGTTCAGGTCGTTCAAGATATAGAAGATACCACACCGGTATACACGCAATGCAGGTACGTGTGTGGCGGGTCGTAGTCGCCTAGCTGTATTCATGGAGATGGCTCTTGGGTCTGTGGCAACTCCATGAGCGATTGACCCTCTGCTGTTTAAACGCCCCGGAAGCCCAAATGCACTGCCATCGCGCATATTTTCGCCCATCGAACACGCAACTTCACATCTAAATCACCACTTTCTCCTCATCTGGGTACACAGAGCGACAGCGGAGAGGTTTGTGGGGCACGAATGAGACACTTCGAAACAACGGCAAGGTAGATTCACGTATCGATGCGGATGAACTTTCTTCGACCTGGTCCACACCTTCCCTCCCTCCCTCCCTCCCTCCCTCCCTCCCTCCCTCCCTCCCTCCGTCCCTCATAGAATGACCAAATCGCCTGATCCTGAGGAACAAATATAAAATTTTGAACTAACCATGCAACATACACACACATACGTAAGACTCAAGCAATGCCTCATGTGTGACCTGCATGGCGTTTCATATGTCTTTCCG